TTATGAGCTATTACCAATTATTTTGATCATTTTTATTTATTTAGACTCATTTGGCAAATAATTTTGTGAAATTAAAAATTCACGATTTCATGAGCTAGTATCCACATTTTGGGGCTATTTTTAGTCATTCTAATATTGGCAAATAAGTTTACAAATGAGAAAATTAATGATTTCATGAGCTATACCCAATAATTTTTGGTCATTTTTATCCATTTTGACCCACTTTCAAACAATTTCATGGAGTCCAAAATACATGATTTTAGGAGCTATTACCCATGATTTTAGGCTATTATTAGTTATTTCAACCCAATGATAAATAATTTTTTGCTATTTTTTATTATTACGACTCATTGGAAAATAATTTTATGGAGATCAAAATGTTTGTCTATTTTTAGTCATTTTAACCCATTTCAACCCATTGATAAATAATTTCATGGAGTCCAAAATTTGTAATTTAATAAGATATAACTCATAATTTTTACCCATTTTCTTTCATTTCAACCAAAGGGAAAAAGTTTATACGTAAGCAAACATTCATGATTTCATGAGCTACAACCCATAATTTTAGGAATTTCAAGTATTTTTGACCCATTAGCAAGTAATTCGAGGAGGTAAAAATTTATGATTTAAGGAGCTATAGCCAATAGTTTTTGGCCAGTTTTTTTACTTATTTCTATCCATTACTAAATAATTTTTTAGAGTCCAAAATGCATGATTTTATGAGCTATAACTCATGATTTTTGACAAATTTTAGTTACTTCGACCCATTGGCAAATAATTTCAGATGCCATAATTCATGATTTTATGAGCTATGATCCATAATTTTTAACCATTTTTTTTTATACTGTGGTAAATAATTTTCTAGATTAAAAATTTTATAATTTAATTAGCTAGTTTAAATTATTTTGACCATTTTTATTCATTTTGACTCATTGGTAAATAATTTTGCAGTGTTTAAAATTCATTGATTTTATGAGCTATAACCCCCATTTTCAACCATTTTTAGTTGTTTCACCCTATTAGTAAATAAGTCTGCAGAGGCCAAAAGTAATGATTTCATAAGTATAACCATTAATTTTGTGTATTTTTTATTTATTTTTACCTATTTGTAAATTATTTTATGGAGTCTAAAATTTACAATTTCATGAGATGACTTTTAGCAATTTTTAGTTGTTTCGACCCATTGGTAAAAAAATTTGTCGAGTTTAAAATTTATAATTTCATGAGCTATGATCCTTGATTTTTAACCATTTTTAGTAATTCTGACCCATTGGCATATAATTTTGTGGAGGCTGGGATTCATAATTTTATGAGCTATAGCTCATAATTTTTGATTATTTTTATTCATTTCTACACATTGATAAATAATTCATGGAGTCTAAAGTCCAAGGTTTCATTAGCCATGAATAATGATTTTAGGCTACTTTTAATTGTTCTATCCCATTGGCAAGTAATTTCGCATTGTCCAAAACTCACAATTTTAGAGCTATTACATGCTATTTTTAGCCATTTTTATTCGTTACGACTCATTGGTAAACAATTTCGTGGAATCCAAATTTCACAATTTTATTTGCAATAATATAAACTCATAATGTTTGTCCACCTTTATCCATTTCAATCCATTGACAAATAATTTTATAAAATCTAAAATTTTCAATTTAATAAGCTATCACCTAACATTTATGTCCATTTCCTTTCATTTCGACCAAAGGGAAAAATAATTCTGCGGAGACAAACATTCATAATTTCATAACATATAATCTATGATTTTTGACCATTTTTAGTCATTTCAATCCAATGACAAATAATTTTACAAAGGCTAAAATATATGGTTTCATGAGCTATAACCATGATTTTTGCCATTTAAATTCGTTTTGAGTCTTCGAAAAAAATTCATAGACTCTAAAATTTACTATTTCATGAGCTATTACTAATGACTTTTGACTATTTTTCTTTGTTTCTACCCATTAACAAATAATTTGGTGAAGTTTAAAATTTTCAATTTCATGAGCTAGCCCACTATTTTTGGGTATTTTTAGTCGTTCCAACCCATTGTCAAATAAGTTTGTGGAGGCTAAAATTAGTAATTTCATGAGCTATATCCCACATTTTTGGTCATTTTATAATTTTGGCCGATTGGCAAATAATTTTATGGAGGCTAAAATTTATGATTTCATGAGCATAACTCATGATTTACAGCTATTTTTAGTCATTTTGACACATTGGCAAATAATTTCTTGGAGGCCAACGTTCGTGTTTTAATGAGCTATAATCCATAATTTTAAGACATTTTTACTCATTCCTAACCATTAACAAATGATTTCTTGGAATCCATGATTCACAAATTTATGAGCTATTACCAACGATTTTTAGCCATTTTTAGTTATTTTGAACTATTGGCAAGTAATTTTGTAGAAACAATGATTTCATAAGCTATCTCATGATTTTTGGTCATTTTTATTCATTTTGACCTATAGGTGAATATTTTGAAGGAATCCAAATTTCACGATTTCAAGAGATATAACCTACATGTTTGTTTGTTTTTACTCGTTTTAACCCATTGACAAATATTTTTGTGGAGCTAAAAATTTCTAATTTCATAATATGTAACTCATAATTTTCATGCATTTCATTCATTTCAACTCAAGGGGAAAAAATCCATAGAGGCAAGCATTCATGATTCATGATTTATAGCTCATAATTTTGGTCATTTTCAGTTGTCATAACTCATTATCAAATAAATTTGAGAAGGGCATAATTCTTGATTTTATAAGCTATAACCAATAATCTTTTATCATTTTATTCTTTTCTATCCATTGGAAAATTATTTTGTGGAGTTAAAAATTTGTAATTTCAGGAGCTATAACCCATGATTTTTGGCTATTTTTAATTATTTCAACACATTTGCAAATAATTTCATGAAATCTAAAATTTACAATTTCTTGAGCTATCAACCATGATATTTGGTCATTTTAGTAGTTTCAATCCAATGGTAAATAATTTCATCAAGTCGAATATTCATGATTTCATGAGCTCTTACTCATGATTTTCAGCCATTTTTAGTCATTCTGACCTATTAGTAATAATTTCATGGAGGCCAAAATACATAATTTCATGAGCTCCAATGTATGATTTATGGAAATTTTTATTTATTTCTACCCATTGACAAATAGTTTTGCAGAGTCAAAAATTATCGATTTCATAAGCTATAAATAATAAATCTTGTCCATTTTTAACTTTTTAGACTCATTGGTAAATAATTTCACAGAGTCCAAATTTCATGATTTCGTGAGCTTTTACCTACAATTTTTGGCCCTTTTTATTCTTTTTGATCCATTAGCAAATAATTTTGCAGAATCCAAATTTTATGATTTCATGACCTATAAACCCATAATGTTTGTCCATTTTTATTCATTTCAACCTTTTGACAAATAACTTTGTAGAGTCAAAAATTTGAAAATTTAATAAGATATAATCCATGATTTTTTTTCTATTTTCTTTTGTTTCTACTAAAGGGGAAAATTTTCTGTGGAGGGTAAACATTCACTAGTTTATGAGCTATAAAAAATGATTTTTGGCTCTTTTAGTAGTTCTAACCCATTAGCATGGAGGCCAAAATTTATGATTTCATGAGTTATAATTCATGAGTTTTGATCTTTTTATTTGTTTCTTCCAATTGACAAATAATTTCATAGAGTTCAAAATTTATAATTTTATGAGCTAATAACGATTTTTGGCTATTTTTAGTTATTTTGACCTATTAACAAATAATATTGCGGAGTCTAAAGATTTATGATTTTTGGCTATTTATGGCTATTTTTATTTATTTCAACTCATTAGCAAATATATTTGCAGAATCTGAATTTACGAATTTCATGAGCTACAAACCGATAATGCTTGCCCATTTTTTATGGCTTCAACCTATTGATAAACATATCGTGGAGTCCAAAATTTGCAATTTAATTAGACATCACCCATAATTTCTATCCATTTTCTTTTGTCTTGACCAAATGGAAAAAAATTACATAGAGGCAAACATTCATGATTTCATGAGCTATAACCCAGGATTTTAGGCCATTTATAGTCATTCGACCCATTGACGAATAATTTTAGGGAAACCATAATTCATGACTTAATGAGCTATGACCCACGATTTATGACCATTTTTATTCATTTCTACCTATTGATAATAATTCCATGGAGTCCAATATTCACGATTTCATGAGTTGCGACCCATTTTTTTGGCCATTTTGTCATTCCAACCCATTGGTAAATAATTTCAATGAGGCCAAAATGCATGATCTCTAAGGTAAATCGCCTACAAACTGAGACTGGTCACAAGACTCGCCTACAAACTCTTCGAGAACTCTGAGGTAAATCGGGTATCACGATCCGAGACGATGCACACTGGAACTCCGTGCAATCGCATGATCTCTTGCAATACGAGAGATTTACTAACACTCTTAGGAAAGGAACTCATTGAAATATATAGAGATAAATATTTTACCTCCATGTATCTCTGAGCAAGATGCTCCGTCGATTGTCCCACTCAGAAAGGAATAAAGTGAGCCAATTTGGTTAATCGATCTACGATCACTCAAATAGCATCATTTTGTCTAGTGCTCCGAGGTAAGCTAGTAACGAAGTCCATGGTGATATGCTGCCACTTCCATTCCAGAATAGGCAATGGCTGTAAAAGACCTACGATGCGCTGATGCTATGCCTTCACCTGCTGACATACAAGGCACTTAGCTACACTACGAGCCATATCTCTCTTTATACCACACCACCAAGAGTTTAGCTTCAGATCCTTATACATCTTCGTACCTCCAAGGTGAATAGAATATGGTGAACTGTGAGCTTCCCGTAATATCTCCTCTCGAACATCTCCTCCTGATACGCAGATACGACTCCCAAATCATAAGGATCCGTCCTCATGAACAACAAATTCTGGTCGAAGACCAGCCACTGCTAACTCTCTGTACTTCTGAAGAAATGAGTCACTCGCTTGTGCAACCTTGATTCGCTTGACCAGTGTCGATTGAATCTGAAGATTCATCAAAGAAGCGGTGACTCCTGGAAGAAGAACTTCTATACTCATATCTCTCACTTCCTGTTGGAGGGTCATGATTGCCGGCAATCGGCTCAAAGCATCTGGTACTACATTAACCTTGCCAGGGTAGTACTAAAGATCTATGTTGTAATCTGCCATCAGCTCTAACCATCGGCGTTGCCTCATGTTGAGCTCCTTCTGAGTAAATATGTACTTCAATCTCTTATGATCAGTGAACACCTTCACTTGCTCTCCCAACAGATAATGCCTCCAAAGCTTAAGGGCAAAAATCACAGCTGCCAACTCCAAGTCGTGGGTAGGATAATTCTGCTTATGCTTCTTCACTGACGAGAAGCATATGCTACCACATGACCATCCTGTTGAAGAACACATCCCAATCCTCTACCTGATGCGTCGCAAAATACCTCAAAGTTCCCACTCTTATCTGGTATCATCAGGACTGGGGCCGAAATCAGCCGAGACTTTAACTCCTCAAACGCCTACTCACAAGCGTCGGACCAGACAAACTTAATATCCTTCCTCGTAAGTCGCATTATCGGCTCTACAATCTTCAAAAAATCTCTGATGAAGCGACGGTAGTAACCAGCTAATCCCATAAAGCTCTTAATGTCAGACACCGACTTAGGGGTAGGCCAATCCTTCACTACAGATACCTTCTCCGGATCCACTGATATGCCGTCTCCTGACACCACGTGTCTTAGAAACATAATGCAATCTAGCCAGAACTGACACTTACTATACTTGGTGAATAGCCGATGCTCTCTTAAGGTCTTCAACACGTACCGTAAATGCTCTGCATGCTCTGCTTCACTCTTAGAGTACACCAAGATATCATCAATAAAGACTTCCACAAATTTGTCCAGTACATCATAGAATACCAGATTCATCAGGTTCATGAATGTCGTCGGCGCATTAGTCACACCAAACGACATCACTAAGAATTCATAATGTCCATATCTCGTCTGGAACACGATCTTGTGGACATCAGAATCCTTAACATTCACCTGGTGATACTCGCTTCGTAAGTCCAGATTAGAAAATACTCTCAATCCTCGCAATTGATCGAATATATCATCGATACGGGGAAGTGGATACGTATTCTTCACTGTCACCACATTCAACTCCCGGTAGTCGATGCACATCTGCTGGATCCATCTTTCTTTCCCACAAGCAACACAGGTGCTCCCCAGGCTGATACACTAGGTCATATCAAGCCTTTCTGCAAAAGATCATCCAACTGAGTCCGAATCTCGGCCAACTCAGCCGGAAGCATACGATAAGGGGTCTTGGAGATCGGAGCAACTCCAGGCTTCAAATCTATGGAAAACTCAATTGCTCGATCTAGTGGCAATCCATAAATATCATCAGGAAGCACATCTTCAAATTCTCGAACTACAACTGGCTTCTCGGATTCCACTTGCATTATAGCTAACGTCGCATTCTTCGGTCTAGCTCTGTACTCTACAGGTCTGGCCGATGAGCTGCCACTGAGGAACTCAAACCTCGGGTGATCCGGTATCTCAAATACTACGCTCCGACGGTGACAATCAATGGTGGAAAAGAATGACCCCAACTAATCCATCCCAAATACTACATCAAAGCTCGACAAATCAATCACTAGAAAGTCTGCAGAGAGTTTGATAATTACATTTTTATTACAATTTTATACCCTCATTATCTATTTTATATGAATAAATATACCACTAATAATTGCTTTTATTTTTAATTACAGGTTAATAAAGAATAAATCCTAAAAATCCCATCTCTCAACAAAGGCCCTTGAGTAAATGAAGAAATAAGAGAAATTCAAATAATTGAATTTTAAAAGGCCCAAAGAATTGGCATGGACTTGAATGCAAAGAGTGAAATGAATTGGGCTTTTATGCAAAAGATTACAAGGCCGGTTCATTTGATTGCTGCAGCTTTGATCTTCATTGGCTTGAATGGGCTGGAGTGTGTTGCAGGTCAACTTGGAATTTCATCAAATAAATGAATAAGGACCTTGCTACATCTCTTCAAATTTCGGTTTTGAAAAAACGAAGTGCAGCAAAATCACTGCTGCAGATTGGGCTATCGAACTTGAATAGGCTGCAAACTTTGATTTTGAAAATCAACACTCTATGGGCCGGACCTGCTGCAAATAAATGAAGGGAAACCGAATGTGGGCTGTTGATTTTAGTTTTGAAAATTAAATGAAGACCAAACATTGATTGCTGAATTGAACTTGTGATGCGGCTGAAGATTGGGCCGGATTTGGCTTGTTCATTTTCTTTTCTTTTTTTTTTTTTTTGAAATCAAATGAGCTCCATGGGCCTGATTTGAATGTGCTGCAGATTTCCAATTGGACCGGACTTTGCTTTAGAAATCAAATGAAGATTGAATTTTGAAAATCATTAATTGGGCCGAAAATCAATGAGCTCAAGACCGGATTTGATTGTAAAGACTTGGTTTTTAATTTTGAATCTCATATGGGCCTCCTATGTTGGGCTAGAGAAGAACAAAAAGCAAATTCAAAGGTAGAGATTGTTGCTTGGGGCTCAAGACAAATCCAATGGCTCATATTCATTGATGATTACTATAAATAGGGGTAGAGAGTGAGGGGTTAAGAGTGTGAAAATTTTTGTAACTCCTTTTGGAGAGGAGGGCTACTCTTAATTGAGAAGGCCTTCCAAAATTGTAAATTTTGTTGCAATTAATAATAATAATTTTTTCACCACTTTAAATTTTTGTCTTCTTCTCTTTGTTGGATGATGAAGATGAAGATGAAGATGGAGAATTATTTGAAGGTTTGCATTTCTTTTCTTTTTCTCTTTTATTGCTTATTAGTGTAGATTTATTTCTATGCTTGTAGTTTAGATTTTATTTTCTTGTTAAATAGCCAAGAGGCTAGAACCCTCTTGCCTTAGATTTATTTCATGCTTATAGAATAGATTTATTTTCTTGCATTTAATTCTTGCAATTTTATTTTGTAGTTTAGATTTTGCAATTTATTTTGTAGTTAGATTTTAATTTCTTATACTATTCACCTTGAGGCTAGAACCCTCTTGGGTTTAGTTTTTCTTTTTGTTTATTTTTATTTTGTTTGATTCGCCTTTAGGCTAGAACCCTCTAGGGAATCACCCTTTTCTAAGAAGTGGGTTCAATTGTAGATTACTCATATCTATAATTGAATCTACCATCTTTAATTTCTTACATTTTCTTTTATTCTAGAATTTTGTTCTTCATTCTTGATTTTTTTTTTATTTGTTTCTTGATTTTATTCATTTTTCCTTCTCACCTTATTGATCATACTCATTCTTTTTTAAATCCACTCTCACTTACACTTGCACCTATTTACACACCACTTTCACTCTCCCAATCTCTTCACAATCACATTCACTCATCAATCTTATTTGTCACACACACAACATAAGAACCGATTTTATATTTTCTCCTACAAAACACCTTCCTCGTGGGATCGATATCTTAAATACTATAACTTGATACGGTTGTGCACTTGCAACCTTTTTGGTACATGTTTATGCCGCATCAAGTTTTTGGCGCCGTTGCCGGGGAAGGTGCTTAAGTAGGTTTTAATTATTTTGGTTCTTTAACTTGTGTGTTTTTTGTGAAGGAAACGCTTGGAGCTTGAAGATCGCGGATTGGAGAACTAGGATTTGAAGATTTGCTTTCGGGTAAGTCCTCTTTCTAGTTTTTAATTCCACCCTTTAGCTACTTCTTCACAATTAGAGACAATTAGGACTTAAAAAAAATTATTTTCCATTGACCATAATAAAATTCACCATCTACTTTGACATTTACTAACAAGATAATAAAATTCAAACAAATCCCCCCTTCTCATTTGTTTGATTGTTAACCCTAATTAAAAAAAAAGATTTTTCTTTTCCATCCTTTTTAGTTGCTTTTAATTCATAGGGTTGCATTTCATATTGATAGTAGGAATTCACCAAGTGATTTGAGCATCTTGATTTGGCACACACTTAAAAATATCTTTAAGGGCAAAACCCCATAATCAAGATAAGGTGAGGGATTTCATCACCCTTTCCTTAGCCCAAAAATCACTAATTCCTCACTTCACAAACCCAAGCCTAATAAAACTCATTAGACGTTGGCCCCTAAGGATTCGAGCTCAATAAGGAACAAGAAATCCTTAAGTGAACCGGTTTAAGTTTTCTCAGATTACTTGGTGTCTAAGGCAAGGTTTAGGGGTTGCGTAAAGCACTCCGTAAGGAAAGAGGTACTTAATTTATCTTTGATCACCCTCTAGTACTATCCTTACCTGGCTAACTACCTTGGTAAAACTTTGATCTTTTTACTGTAGGAGTTTTTGGTTAGGAGCTGGTCTAGTTGAGTTAGGCTAAACCCTAGAATTAGAGTTGATTGAAAAGTGATTATTTTGATTTGTTTTAGTTAGGATTTTTCTTTTTCTTTATCTTCTCATTAATAAAAAAACTAATTTTCTTTCTTTTCTTTAAAAAAAATAAAATAAAAAAATAAAAAGAAATATTTTGGTGTATGCAACTGTGGATTAGGGATAATACACATCGATTAATTCGCTTTGAACCAATCATAGAAATGGAGCATCCTAATCCACCCGTTCTTCATGATATGTGCTATCCCATTAGGAATGCAATCCCTTCATGCATTAGGCTCCCCGAAACAAATGGAATAAGTTTTGAGCTTAGACCGCAATACATAAACATGCTTTCCAAATTCCTTGGTAATGAAATAGAAGACGCATATATTTTTATTTCGGAATTTGAGGAAGTGTGTATTATGGTTAAAATGAGAGAATTAAATGAAGATGCGGTTAAGCTTAGATTTATTCCATTTGCTCTTAAGGATAAAGCTAAAAAATGGCTGTACAGCTTACCAACAAATTCCATCTCAACTTGGGATGAATTTGTCACCGTTTTTCTTAAGAAATTTTTTCCTATTCATAAAACGGTAAAGCTTAGGAACAGCATTCAAAACTTTAAAATTATCCCGGGAGAACCTTTTTGGAAGTATTTTGACCGATTTAAAGATCTTCTCATCCAATGTCCTCATCACGGTTTAGAGAAATGGCGATTGTGCCAAATAATTTATGAGGGATTAGATTATTCTACAAAAACTTCCTTAGAATTAATGTGCCACGGGGATTTTATGAGAAAAAATGCTGATGAAGCTTGGGAATTTTTGGAGAGCCTTTCTGAAAAAACAATGCAATGGGAACAGTGTGATGATAGGGTTTCATCAGTTCCCCAATCTAAGTCTAGTGGTTTTTCCTTGGAGTCAAACATTGCTTCTGAAGTAAAGATGGCGACGATTCTGCGAAGGTTAGAAGCTTTAGAAATTAAGGAACGAGCTCCAGCTCAAATCAATCATGTTTC